TAGACAATTTTCGACCATTTTAGATGATTTTAGACGATTTTAGAGCGTTCTTAGACCATTTTAGACGATTTTAGATTTGCTATTGTATTGTATTTGCTCATCATTCAGAACAGCTACCATCTATGCCCTCCATGTCGAGATGGCTTTCGGCTTAATTATCCCATGCATGGCACAAGCAGAGATGGGTGATGAGGAGTTCGTCATTCTCAAGAACATCATCCTTTTCTCAACGGGTGAGTTCTTGAATCTGAAAAACTGAGTGGAAAAAGAAGTTGAGCTTACAATTAAGTAGATGCTAATTTCAAGTAAAGCAGTCGCAAAAAAAAGTCAAATTCCAGGTCTTGGCTTGAAACAGAAAACGATCGATGTCGCCAAACGGGCCTACAGTAAATATTGCTCAATTTTATTAGAGGTTTATTAAAATAAGATTTCATTAAAGTATTTTTTCTTTAGTATTTAAAATTTCGACACAAAGATGAAAAAGTGGCCATTGAGAGGTTCACGAGATTGATGGATATACCTAGATATTTACAGGTAGATAAATAAGAAAGTTTTGACTCTGGTATCATCAACTACTTCACGATTGTTTAAAAAGCCAAGCTGAACCAGGATTAGGATCTGGTTTCTGATTGGTACACTACTGGACAATGAAATATCATAATTGAAAAAAGATCGTCACTTTTGCGCATCTATAACTCCCTTGTCTTTACCGTATTTCTAAATATTAATATTACCATTGTGTAGCCATTGAAAAGAGCTTTCAGAAAATGTATAAGACTAATAGTTCACTCGAAGACAACGGAGTTACCGACACGAGAAAGTGACGATCGTTTTTCAAATATGATATTTCATTTTCAAGTACTGTAGTAGTCTTGATTAGACTTTTGACTAACGAGAGTTAACGAGACAAATGGTTCGCGCAATTTCATTGTCCAGTACTGTAGATTGAAAGTGTGCTTTGTCTACAAAACTTGGCTTGGCTAGACTGAGAGACTCACTTTTTCTAGTGGACTGGATTTGTCATTTTCTTGTAGCAATAAAGCGGTGCTGTCCAGGGATGTTTTAATTGGAGACTGGAGTCGTAAGCCAGTCGTAAACCAGACAAGAAACCAGACAAGAAACCAGACCAGAATCCAAGCTCAAACTTGGCTTTTAACCTAGGGAATTTATTGCTAACAATAAAACGAGGCAAGGTCAGAAGCCAGGCTAAAACCTAGCTTCCAATCTTTGTTAGTAAACTTGCAGTAAAGCCAAGTTAGATTATTCAGACTGGTCTGGCTTGGTCTAACCTAGCCAAGCCAATGCCAGAGCCAAGCCCAGGAAAATCCTACAAGAAAGTGAAAAATTGAACGCCAGAAAGGGAAGATTTGCAAATTCTAGCACAAAGTCCATCTTAAATCCTTTCTAAATTTGGAAAATTTTCAGAACAGCGTCCCGAAAGTCGGTTCTCTTTACGGGAAAGCGGTGCTCTGTCAAGAAAGCGGCTTAAGAGGGAAATTATCCGAGGATCTCTTATGGAAATTATAAAATAATAAAAATACTATTCAATTTTGATGATTTATCTTTAAATTTATTTAATTTAAACAAAAAAAATCAGTAAATCAGTAAATTTTTCTTTTTATTTTATGGGATTTATTTTCGGATTCTATTCTTTTCTTTTGTGATGAATTATTAAGATTTTGATTCAATTCAATGAATCTTTTCTATAGAATAAAGAGATAAAGAGATAAAGAGATTCTACATATTTGAGGCTAAACTTTGCTTTGTTTTTCTTGATTTCAGTATTGATTTTGGATATTAGTAAAACAAAACCAAATCAAAACCAAATCAAAACCAAAACAAAACCAAATCAAAACAAAACCAAACCAAATCAAAACCAAAACCAAAACCAAAACCAAATCAAAACCAACACAAAATCAAACCAAAGTCAAAACCAAAACAAAACCAAATCAAAACCAAATCAAAACAAAACAAAACCAAAACAAAACCAAGTCAAAACCAAATCCAAACCAAATCAAATCAAAGCCAAATCAAAACAAATCAAAACCAAAAACAAACCAAAAAAAAAACAAATCAAATCAAAATCAAATCAAAACCAAAACAAAACCAAATCAAATACAAAACCAAATCAGAATCAAATCAAAATCAAAACCAAATCAAATCAAAATAAAACCAAATCAAAACCAAAACAAAACCAAATCAAAACAAATCAAAACCAAATCCAAACCAAATCCAAACCAAATCAAAACCAAAACAAAACCAAATCAAAACCAAATCAAAGCCAAATCCAGAACCAAATCCAGAACTCTGAATTCAATGCACTTAAATTTGCGGATTTCAACATTTTCATAAATTTTCAACGATAAAAACCTGATATCGATGAATGTAATATGTTATATGTTATAAACTATTTGAAAGTCGTAAATCTCCTCTACAAAATAGGCTAAAACGTGTTTCAATTGATCGAACCATTGAAGAAATTTTGAGGGCCAAATGCGAGTGACCAAAAAAGGAATCGAGTCACTTTAGGGACAAGTTTAGTGTGGTGAGCAGTGAGACAAAACTCTACAAGACATTACAAGAGCAGTGAGACGAAACTCTGCTCAACACAGAACTACGTTTACGGGGTAAACATTTAGCTAATAAAGCTTAAAGCTGATAAATGAATGTTATAAACTATTTGAAAGTTGTAAATCTCCTCTACAAAATAGGCTAAAACGTGTTTCAATTGATCGAACCATTGAAGAAATTTTGAGGGCCAAATGCGAGTGACCAAAAAAGGAATCGAGTCACTTTAGAGCACTTTTTGAAAACCCCACTTTCACAAGAGTTTGATTTTGACTATATAGTGGAAAATGCCCTAAAATATCAATAAAAGCTCCCTAAAATATCATTAAAATAATTAAGAGTTGGGATCATTTCATGGGAAAACTTTCTTTTTACAATAATTTTTCTATTTTGTGAGAAAGCCGGCTTTTTGACAATTTTGAGGGTTTTGAACTTTGAGCTCTATCTAAATTTCTGTAAATGCATTTCCGTTAGACTTTTTTAATGAATTCATATATAGTTATCCTTTTTCTTTTTAAATCTTCAATTTTGGGAAGCTAACTCTATTTTGACCACACTAAACTTGTCCTGAAAGTGACTCGATTCCTTTTTTGGTCCTTTTTTGGTCACTCGCATTTCGTCCTCGAAATTTCTTCAATGCTTCGACCAATTGAAACACGTTTTAGCCTATTTTGTAGAGGAGATTTATAACTTTCAAATAGTTTATAACATTCATCGATATCTTCGATATCATTCTATCGTTGGAAATTTATGAAAATCTTGAAATCCGCATTTCTTATGCATGTACCTAATAGTTTTGATGGAACACTCGCTTCAATCGAAAAGGCTAAAGACAACTGGAACATCATGATAGCCGGTCGGGATACGGTAAAATCTTTTACTTGACATAACAAGGAAAACTATGAGCTATAGAAGAAAGCTTAACTTGTCTTCTAAAGCCTAATTCTTTAGAATTCGGAAACTTTTTGGGTTGGTGGCTTCTTTGACCGGAGGAATGTTTATAACATTCATCGATTCTAGTTTATAACATCAGGTTTCTATCGTTGGAAATTTATGGAAATGTTAAAATACGTTCCAATACGTTCCAATACGGTTCCAATACGGTTCCAATACGGTTGCTATCTTGATCTAATACGGTTCTAATACGGTTCCAATACGGTTCCAATATGGTTCCAATACGGTTCCAATACGGTTCCAATACGGTTCCAATACGGTTCCACTATGGTTCCAATACGGTTCCAATATGGTTCCAATACGGTTCCAATATGGTTCCAATACGGTTCCAATATGGTTCCAATACGGTTCCAATATGGTTCCAATACGGTTCCAATATGGTTCCAATACGGTTCCACTATGGTTCCAATACGGTTCCAATATGGTTCCAATACGGTTCCAATATGGTTCCAATACGGTTCCAATATGGTTCCAATACGGTTCCAATATGGTTCCAATACGGTTCCAATATGGTTCCAATACGGTTCCACTATGGTTCCAATACGGTTCCAATATGGTTCCAATACGGTTCCAATATGGTTCCAATACGGTTCCAATATGGTTCCAATACGGTTCCAATATGGTTCCAATACGGTTCCAATATGGTTCCAATACGGTTCCAATACGGTTCCACTATGGTTCCAATACGGTTCCAATATGGTTCCAATACGGTTCCAATATGGTTCCAATACGGTTCCAATATGGTTCCAATACGGTTCCAATACGGTTCCAATATGGTTCCAATACGGTTCCAATACGGTTCCAATACGTTCCAATACGGTTCCAATACGGTTCCTATTTTAATCTAATACGGTTCCAATACGATTCCTATTTTGATCTAATACGGTTCCAATACGGTTCCAATACGTTCCAACACGGTTTCTATTTTGATCTAATACGGTTCCAATTGTTTCCAATCCGCACTTCTTATGCATGTACTTAATAAATTCTAGATTCAATGAATATTAACAAACTCATTACCCTTTAGAATTCAATCTTTTCGCCGAAACCCTTTCTCTTTTTCTGTTTTGTCTCGGTTTGTATCGATTTCTCAGCTTTTGTGCTTTTTCACACCTCGACTAGACAAATTACTCGTACTTTCAACAACTAATTATGTCTCTAAAAAGATACAAAAGCTATATATATTAATCTTTCATTTTGTTTTCAATAAACCCTATTATATTTTAAACTTATAAAAGTTCCTTAGTCTTAAGAATCTAATAAATTCAATAAGAATATGTAAATTTCCATATAATGTCAAATTTAGCTTTCAAAAACCATTTTAAACCACTCTTTTTTTAAATATTCAAATTTTTGTTGATTTCTTCAACATTTTATGCTTTTAATGATATCTTTTTGTATTTTTTTGTACTATTTTGTACCATTTTGTACGATTTTGTACGATTTTGTACTATTTTGTACCATTTTTAAGATCAACAATGAAAGAAGAACAACTAAGCGATGATTGTAATGAAATTCTCGATTTGACCGATGATTTGCAAAGAGGAGAGAAATGTTCGATTTGTGGTGGAATGCATGCGAGGAGAGCTTATGGAGGAATGGCTTGCGGGTGGGCAAATTGTAAGATTGTAAGATTGTAAGATTGTAATTGTAAGATTCCTTTTTCTTCACCAACTTAAAATGAATTTAATCCGAAAGGCAAGGAGAACAAATCCAATCAACCGTTCAAAAGTTTTTCAATGATTTATAGTTTTGGAAGACTACACATTGAGAGCTTTGCTTTTTTGGAGCTTCAAAGAGCTTTAAAGAGCTTCAAAGAGCTTTAAAGAGCTTCAAAGAGCTTTAAAGAGCTTTAAAGAGCTTCAAAGAGCTTTAAAGAGCTTCAAAGTGCTTTAAAGAGCTTCAAAGAGCTTTAAAAAGCTTCAAAGAGCTTTAAAGAGCTTCAAAGAGCTTCAAAGAGCTTCAAAGAGCTTTAAAGAGCTTCAAAGAGCTTTAAAAAGCTTCAAAGAGCTTTAAAGAGCTTCCAAGTGCTTCAAAGAAATTCAAAGAGCTTCAAAGAGCTTCAAAGAGCTTCAAAGAGCTTCCAAGTGCTTCAAAGAAATTCAAAGAGCTTCAAAGAGCTTCAAAGAGCTTCAAAGAGCTTCCAAGTGCTTCAAAGAAATTCAAAGAGCTTCAAAGAGCTTCAAAGAGCTTCAAAGAGCTTCAAAGAGCTGAGATTTACCGAAAAAATGATTTAAATGTAATAGTTCTTCTTTTCTATTTAAAGCAAACCACGTTTATCAGCTAATTATTATAAATTTCAAAAAGACGGACAAGATGAATATGATTGCAAATCGCAGTTTTTGATCCATCATCTTGGGCCTACCATTATGTAATATTTAATGGTAGCAATAGTTGTGAAAATAATTAAAATGAATAAGCAATCATAATACAATATAATACAATTTAAACCGGACCATCACACTTTCAAATAAAAAAAACTTTGGTCCTCGGAAGTAATCCGCAGTTTCTTTTGCAAGTACCGAATAGCTTCCAAGAGCTTCAAAGAGCTTCAAAGAGCTTCAAAGTGCTTCAAAGTGCTTCAAAGAGCTTCGAAGAGCTTCGAAGAGCTTTAAAGAGCTTCGAAGAGCTTCGAAGAGCTTTAAAGAGCTTCGAAGAGCTTCAAAGAGCTTCAAAAGAATTATTGAAGATCATCCTTATAGTTTAGTTTATTTCTAAACGAAATCTATTATTTTAGAAGTTGCAAGAGTTTTTTCTTCCGTGCTTCAACTTCTAGACGGAAAGCGTCAATTTGTCAGAATTCTGGCCTTTGCACTCCACCGGATTTTCTGAATTTTGGTTTGAAATATTTCAATTTCATATTTCAATTTCATTTTTCTGTAATACATAACTTTTTCCTTTCAGCTAAAAACAAATGTATCGCTTGTCGATTCCAAAAATGTATTGAAGTTGGAATGATTCCAGAGAGTGAGTGAATTGAGAAATCTCTATGTAAAGTTTCAATTTGGATAACCAAGCTGAAACTTGTTACCTTTCAAAAGCTATTTAGCTCTTAATAGCTATTTAGCTCTTAAAAGCTATCCATTTAGCTTATTGAAATCCAAAAAGTTTCAGTCACAGCTCGACGCGCCGGTTGTGAGCTTCGGAAGCGTTGTGGTCTGATTCAATCCAAAGAAATTGACTTAAAAGTGATCAAAAAAGAGCCAATTTCATCAAAAACTCATCAAATCGATCTCGTAAATCAAGAAAATAACTTTAATTTTGGAATTTTTAGAGAGAATTTCAAATGGCTGCTCAAAATTTCGCGCGTCCTTTGCTATACGAGAGATTAGAAGCTGTTGATGTTGTGAGAAGTTTGATGAACATTCAAAAGTTTGTTTGTCTTTATGCTAAAAATTCTTACAATATACAATACTTAAAAATACTTACAATAAAATAATTAGTTATCTAAGCTTTATTTTAGCATGATTACCCAAGATCTTCACGGGCGTCTTGTTTTCGATTTCCCTTACTCTTTCGAGCTTTCTCTCAATCAAGTTTTGCACAATCCGACCGCCGTTTGTTCAAGAATACCGGTGAGAAAAAGAAATATTATTGATTTATTCAAATAATAGCGTAATATTTATGAAAGTAATAATAGTAAACAGCAGTGAACCCCAGTTAAGGAGTTAGCTGGGGAGTTAAGGAGTTCACTGGGGAGTTAAGGAGTTAGCTGGGGAGTTAAGGAGTTCACTGGGGAGTTAAGGAGTTCACTGGGGAGTTAAGGAGTTAGCTGGGGAGTTAAGGAGTTCACTGGGGAGTTAAGGAGTTCACTGGGGAGTTAAGGAGTTCACTGGGGAGTTAAGGAGTTAGCTGGGGAGTTAAGGAGTTCACTGGGGAGTTAAGGAATCTTAGTCGATTACTTTGCAACGTTTGTAAGTACACCACCATTCATATTTTTCTTTTTTTGACAATGACACTTCTTTTCTTCTTCCAACCCGAAAATTCAAATTTTTGACCCGATCCGACCCGTTTTCCCATGTCTAGTATGCTCCGTTTGATCAATAATAAGTCTAAAGTGACAAAACTCTCGTAAAGGGCTACTATTTGCTACCAAAAAGCTTTCAAACCTGAGATTTCTACATCGAGTTAGTTCTAAAAAATCTGAAAAAGCTTTTACAAAAGAAATATTTTACAAAATGTCAGTAAAATTTGCAAGAGCTTGATTTAGTGATTTCGCGAAACGCAAAATTCTGGTGTAACATTATTGCAAGTTTGAAAGATCTTGAAAATCGAGCTAGCACTTTAGCAGCTCTAAAGTTTTTATAAAGCTTCTTTAGCTTGGCTACGATGAACCCGTCGAGCCAAATATTCCACTTGAGCAACTGCCAGCGATGGCCGCGAGAATAGTGGCCAGAGCACTAGTCCATTGCACCGATCTCTTTCGAGCAATTCCCGAATTTTGGCATCTTAATGAGCAAGATCGGGTGAGTTGAATACTCAGGAATGGTAATTGAACGACAAGAACTATTGGGTTCGTGAATTGAACTATTGGGTGAATCCGAAACCATTGGCACTTTGAACTAAAATTTCTTCAACATAAAACCATCAATTCATTCGAAATAATTTCCATTATTATTGACGACTTCTGTCCATTTTACAAGCAATTTGCGGATTCCTCTTTCGTAGTAGGATTTTGGTTTGTGTGTGAGACAAGTGTGAGACTCAAAAATGGAGGACTGGAGATTGAGCTTTTGAGCACTTTCTTTAAAAGAAACCCATTTTGGTGTCAATAGAAAAGTTGTAGAGAATCAAAAATTAGGCTTATAGCCAAATTTCCAAAAAGATACATTTAGTATTGGTTTGGGGAGAATGAGGCGGCGCCGAAAATCAAAAAAAATGTCTAAAACTTCTATTCGACTTCGTCAAATAATATGCGTTTGATATGAGTAGAATGGTTAACTAATTCTCTACAAAATGACATTTAAAAGAAAATTCAAACAGCGCCTCCGCTCAAGAAAAAGCCATTCTTTCACAAAAACTACAAACTGTGATCTAGAAAAAACCATTGGTGGGATCTTCCTGCAAATTTGGCAACTTAAGTAATTCAATGTGCTCTATCTTTTTTATATAAACACCAAAGAAGGTTTATGTGAAAGAAACTGTTCAAATGATGAGTCGGACTCTTTGCCATTTTAACCAGCTGCGTTTGGAAGTTCATAAACTCCACGAAAGAAAAGCTTTGTGGAATTTCTCAAAAGTCATTTTGTAGAGAAATAGTGGATCCTTTTAATGAAAGAAAACGTATATTTAAAGAAGGCTTTATGCCTGCAAAAAGTGTCTTTCAAGTTTGGCGCCATTTCATTCTCCCCAACCCAATAGTTTCGCTTAAAATGCAAGCCTTGTGAAATTTCGTAAATTTGGCATTTCTTGAAAACCAGTTTTTGAATCGTTCTGAAAATTTGGCTATAAGCCTAATTTTTGATTCTCTACAACTTTTCCATTGACACCAAAGTGGGTTTCTTTTGAAGAAAGTGCTCAAACTGTCACATATGACAAGAGCCGGCAGTTTTCAATTCACCAACCCAATAGAATATAAAAGCGAAATTTTTAGATCAAATTGATTAGCACACAATTCGCTATGCAAGGAATGTTCAACGACTACTATCACACTTCTAAATATAACTTTAAAAACGGTCTCTTGTCAGCTCTTGGATTCAGAATTATTGCTCCCGATTGTCCCGTGAACACCGTGCCGGGGATTGATGTTTTGTAAGTGAAAAAAACTTGTGTTTAAAGATGATTTTCAATAATTGGATCAACTGTTAAGCCTTTGCAAGCTACAGATTATTTATTATGTAACAAAAGTTTGAAAAAATCACTTAAAACTGACCCATTTCGCACCTTAGAACTTTTTTCAAACTCCGGCCATGGTAATCAACTTTAAAGTGGCCTACCGTAATCCTCACCCATTTTAGTAGATACAGTAATCTAGGTAAAGATTACTGTAAAGTCAACTAGCTTAGGTTACTGTAAATGTAGATGCTACTGTATACTGTAAGCTCAACTAACTTAGTGATAGGTACAGTAATCTAGGTAAAGATTAATGTAGTAATCTAGGTAAAGATTACTGTAACGTCAACTAGCTTGAGTTACTGTAAATGTAGATGCTACTGTAGCCCAGATACTGTAAGCACAACTAACTTAGTGATAGAAAAGATAGAAAAAGATCAAACGATAGAAATCGAGTGTAGCTGAAAATGAAAGCACAAAGATTGCTATAAAGCAAGTCATTTGACTGAAATTCAAACACAATCAATCAATATTCTTTCAGTTTTGAGGACACTTACAATTGGCATGTTCCCTATGGAGTGAAACTTGTTATTCCAGCGATTCAACGCGGTGAGATGCTCGACGAAGAATTTCTCCTAATCAAAACAATTCTTTTGTTCTCATCAGGTTTGTACATTGCTAACATTTGTTAGAGTTTTCAGTTCCATCAAAGCTGTGGGATTTTCCGATGCGAGTGCTCAAGTGATGCGCAATGCTTTCAACAAATACACGAGCATCTTGCTGGAGGTTAGAAAAGAGTAAGGCATAAAGCCTGGCCGCAATCGGATACGTGTCAGTGTAGCCCATTGGTAAAGCGTTCGCCTGGTAAGCGAGAGGTAGCGGCTTCGAATCCCAGCTTCGACCATGTTTTGGATCCCAAGCCATAAAAGGATCAACATTGTTGTTGTCCAACTAAGGATTTAACCATGCACCAATGTCAAGTCAGAATAGACCTAAAGACCTAGCTAGACTACTCTAGTCAAAAACAAATTTAGCCTAGACTGGAAAAAGTATCTGTGAAACGTTTAGCTTGGCTGAAAAAGAATCTAAGGAAAAGACCAGGACACTAGCCGATCATGTCAGCAGGCCGATCCGGCTCAGAAACAAGTCAAGCCTGGCCAGGACACTAGCCAATCATGTCAACTGGCCGATCTGGCTCTCAAGTCAAGCCAGGCCAGGACACTAGCCGATCATGTCAACAGGCCGATGCGGCTCAGAGTTAAGTCAAGCCAGACCAGGACACTAGCCGATCATGTCAGCAGGCCGATCCGGCTCAGAAACAAGTCAAGCCTGGCCAGGACACTAGCCAATCATGTCAACAGGCCGATCCGGCGCTCAAGTCAAGCCAGACCAGGACTAGAAAGCAAGTTAGCAAGTAGCTCAGCTTGAAATAACAAGAAACAGGTTACGATATTGATCATTGCCTCGTCTAACTTCATCCAGTCTAGTGCTTCTCTGACTTATTAGCCTTTCTGAGTTAAAACAATCCGTTTAGCACCTGAAGAACCGATTTCGAAGTCCTTCAATGGCGATTGAAAGGTTCACGGCTTTAATGAGTATTCCAAACTATTTGCTGGTTGGTTTACAAAACGTCTTTCAAGAATTTAATGACTACGAAATAACAAGACTAGGTCCAGTTTTCAAATTTCAAAAATTTCAGAACGCAGCTCCAAAAATAAACGCCGAATTGGGCAGAAACACTTTGATTAAATATTGCAAACTCGAGGGACCACTGCTTGAAGAAATCTTTCACAGACAATAAATTTTAACCATTTTTTTTTCTCATTTTCTTTTCCACATCAAACAAAAATAATCAAAAGGACTGTAAAGCTTATTATTAGATTGTTCGGATATAAACAAGCGTTACTAAACTTATTGTTGTGAGGGAAGCTTTTAAAACATGTCTTTCTGTATTTAAAAGTACGTTATCTTGTGTATATTTGGAAACTTTTTAAACGGATAATTTCTTTTTTAAGATCTTTTTTCTTGCTTTAGATAACCGACTTCAAACATCAAGTTCGCGCCTGCCCACTTTACGACTTCAAACTGGGCAAAACAGTAGCGGAATCCCATCGAGATTTGGTCAAAGCATTTGGGAATGATGCATTGTTCGAAAGCCGATGCCGAGCCTGGTTCTAACGCTTTTGGAATGGTGATGAAAGTCTCGAGGATGATGAACACTCTCGTCGACCTCAAGCTGTAGACAACGATATTTTGAGGGCTGCAATCGAATCGGATTCATGTCAAACGACGCGTGAACTTGCCCAACAGTTTCTATGTTCAAATTCTACTATTGATGAGCATCTCCACGTCATTGAAAAAGCGATCAGATGCGGGAAATGGCTTCCTCACGAGTTAAGCAGTGCAAACGCTCGTTTATATCCGAACAACCTAATACTACCCCACTCACATAATGACGGTGAGAAGTGCTGCGTAGTCTAACTTTGAACACGTTTTTCTCAATACTGGTTTATGCTACAATGCGTGTTTATATTCGAACGTGAATGAACTCAAGAAAGCCATTCATCTTGTACGTTATCTTGTGATATTTTTAAACGGATAATTTCTTATTTTCAAGATCTTTTTTTCTTGCTTTAGATGCTTTAGATGCCTTCAAATATATCAAGTTCGCGTCTGCGTACTTTACGACTTCAAACTGGGCAAAACAGTCGCGGAATCCCATCGAGATTTGATCAAAGCATTTGGGAATGATGTTCTGTTCGAAAGCCGATGCCGAACCTGCTTTCGGAATGGTGATGAAAGTTTCGAGGATGATGAACACTCTCGTCGACCTCAAGCGGTAGACAACGATATTTTGGGGGCTGCAATCGAATCAGTTCCATGTCAAACGACGCGTGAACTTGCTCAACAGTTTCTATGTTCAAAATCTTTGACCAAATCCCATCGCGATTGGATCAAAGAATTTGGGAATGATGTATTGTCCGAAAGCCGATGCCGAGCCTGGTTCCAAAGCTTTCGGAATGGTGATGAAAGTCTCGAGGATGGTGAACACTCTCGTCGACCTCAAGCAGTAGACAACGATATTTTGGGGGCTGCAATCGTATCGGATCCATGTCAAACGACGCGTGAACTTGCTCAACAGTTTCTATGTTCAAATTCTACCATTGATGAGCATCTCCACGCCATTGGAAAGACGATCTGATGCGGGAAATAGCTTCCTCACGAGTTAAGCAGTGCAAACGCTCTTTTATTTCCGAAAAACCTAATATAAATCCAAAAGTTTAGGTGATAAATGAAAATCTAAAATCTAAAACAAATTCTTTGTTTTTTTCGAAATTTACTGTATTCATATGGTCTTTTGTCGAGATTTGATCATTTTGGATGAATGCCTTCATAAATTTTGACCTTTAGTTAAGCATAGTTTCATTGTAAACACTTCAAGCTTTCGAATGCCACCTAAAAATCCAAAACTCATTGTTTCTGAACGACATTGAAATGTTTATTACATCAAAAATTAAAAAAGACGATGTAATACTTTGATGACATTTCGGACAAATAGTTTCTAATGATTGCCCAATAAAGTTGAATGGCTAGGATGTGTTGGATCCAGTTATAAAAAAATTCGACGAATCAATAAGGATCAGTTAGCATTTATCGGATTGTGGTCGAATTAGGACGTCCGAAACCGAGCATAAGATAATCAATGGCCAAATTCAGACGTTTAGATCAGATCCTGACGTCCGAATCGGATTAGGACGTCCGAGACCGAGCATAAGGTAATCAATGGCCGGATTCCGAGGTTTAGATCAGATCCTGACGTCCGGATCGGATTAGGACGTAACGTATACACCAAATAAAGTGGTTAGAACTAGAACCGTCGAGTAGCCGATACGGGTCGGCTGGCTCACCGTGATATTTGGGGAGCTGGGACAGAGATCAATTGAATTGGGATCATTTGATCAATTGATCATTTGGATTGGGATGAAGGTGCTGAAGCAACTTGAAAAACTTGAACATTTGTAAAGAAAGCTTTTGAGACTTTTTGGGACTCTCTACTTCCAGCCTTTTCTCCATTTTTTCCCAAAGCGATTGCTGGGTAGTCGATTATAATTGGATTTGTAGAAACAAGCGCTAATTGCAGCCAACTCATCATGAAAGATGAGAACGGACTCATTTCATAAAATCCTTTCTTCTTTCCACCGTTCGTCCGCCTTCATTGAGTGAGCAACGATCAACGGCGTCAACATTTCACCTAAACTGTGCAAAAAGAAGAATTCGATTAGCACGGTTTAATACATACGGTTTAAATGTGCTCCACTCGTGTTTTCTAAAATTTTTCAACTTTCTATCGTAATCCTTTAGTTTCTTTTTTTAGTTTTTATCTAATATATCCACTTTTCTATCTTTGGATCATCTTTGTAAAGCTCCAAATCAAACCAAAAGCAGATCGATCGATATTTGGTCAATTAAATGAAATTGAGATAAGATTACGGTAACAGTTGACACATTTTAGAAAAAAACGTATATTCTTTGGCGGTGAAAGCAGCAAAAACGGCAAAAGCTTTAAGCAATCCGTTTCTATCATTTATGTATTTATGTACTAGACACAGTAATACTATGTCTACAAAAAAATCCTTTCTTCTTTGCTTTCTTGAAATCGATGCCATCAATGTTTAATTCAAAATGGGAAAAAAGAAAATTCAAACAGTTTCCCAATAAATTCTTCACTGGACTTTCTATCAGAATTTCAAAACCAACGCCTTTTGGGTTTACTAACCTAAAATATGACTGATAAAGCCAAATGTTCAAACGAACAAAAAAAAAAGGCTTTATCAGTAGGCAAAAAGTGAAGGAAGTAGCGTCTGTCAACAACGTAAAAAGTCCTGGATGAATAAATGAGTTTCAAAAAATCTTTGTCACAAAAACAAAAAAAATTTTGACCCCTGAGTGACTCGAACACCCAACCTTTCGATCTGGAGTCGAACGCGCTACCATTGCGCCAAGGAGCCATGTGGAGGGGGCGGCCAGATTTTGGTTTTATCGAGCCCGAAAAGCGATAAACTGTTTCAATCATTATTTTAAAATCATGTTTCAAGAAAAATTAGCTTAAAAGTTTCAAATTTCATTTAAACCTTTCACAAAATCTAATTATTGTACTTGCAAGGGAATGGCCTGAGCTCAAAGTTTGGAATCAACAGGAAACACAGTGCATAACATAAAATAGGCAATGGCGAACAAAACGCCACAAAAATTAGCCGCTAATAGCCACAGAAACGTGAGGAATCTGGCATGCCAAATCGGGATTGAAAACTGATTTCTTTATAAGGTTTCCTCTCGCTGCCGGCCGGAGATGAGCTCATGGCCTTGTGGATCAAGGGCTAGTCCGTGAAATAGCGGTCGTTTGTTTGCCATCGGGTTCAACTCTGCTCACATGCAAAATTTTGTTTTTGCCATTCTTGGAAACATTTAAAATCTACAAATTTCTTTCTTATAATTTTTTTATGCTTTTTATACTTTTTTTCTCACAATTTTTTATCCCAATATCTATGAATTTTAGCAATGGAGATTGATAATGGACAAATACTACTTCATTTAATCAAGAAAGTTGACCAGGCGTCGGAAGCGTGAGATTTGAAAAGATTTGAGTGAGTTTTTATACAATAAAATTAGTGTAAAGAATGATGGATGAAAATATCTGTTTTGGTTTTTCGAAAAATGTTGAATTTATTCTATTTTATTAAAATTTCTTATTTTTATTAAAAGGAGCCACCTGAAGAGAAAGGCCATATTTCGATTTTATCGGACCAGATGAACTGTTTCAATCATCATTTTAAAATCATGTTTCATCAGAAATTAGATTGAAAGTTCCAAATTCCATTTAAACCTTTCACGAGATCTAATTAAAATGAAATGTTCGTTTTGTTTTGGCGTTTTGTTTTGGCGTTTTGCTTTGGCGTTTTGCCCATTCTATGTTATGCACAGTGTTTCCAGTCGATTCCGAACTTTGAGCTCAGACCATTCCTTTGTTAGCTTTGTTTATATGTTTAAGATTTATTTGAATGTACAATATACAATCGTATTTTCACATTCGTCAAGGAGTCATGTGGAAAGGACGGCCACATTTCGATTTTATGGGGCCGGAAAAGCGATGAACTGTTTCAATCATTATTTTAAAATCATGCTTCAAGAGAAATTAGATTGAAAGTTCCAAATTTCCTCTAAACCTTCACGAAATCTAATTATTGTACTTGCAAGGGAATGGTCAGAGCTCAAAGTTCGGAATCAACAGGAAATGGTTTTGAATATTAAACTGATTTTGAATAACTTTTTGAATGTAAACCTAAACCTTTCTAATCTATATTAGCTTTGTTTATTTGTTCAAGATTTAAATGATTTAAATGTACAATCGTTTGATATTCTCGAGAACAATTCGTCCTTTATGATTTGGGTGAGAAAACCGCCCACAAATCCACATTTGAGAGGATGAGCGATTCGAGAGGTTGATGCCATCTGAAAACGATTTTAGTACAAGGTTTACAAGGTTACAGTTACAGTTACAGTCAAGTTTACTTGCATTTTATTTATGCATAATTTGACTTTTATAAATTTGAGTTTTAGCAAAAAAAGCAAAAGATGTTGACCCCTGAGGGACTTGAACCCCCAGCCTTTCGATCTGGAGTCGAACGCGCTACCGTTGCGCCAAGGAGTCATGTGGTAGTTGAAGGCGAATTGCCGATTTTATTCTCAGTAAAACAATAATAATGAAGACGATTACGATTTATTGACATTCCATTAAAA